AAGTTACAATTCTATCAATCGTGATTTCTTTGTACCGTAATTAATGAAACTAATGTCATTAGTGCCGATTCTATTCAAACTATATTAAGCCATACGAGCTATTCCCTCCTGAATTTTTTTTATTAATAGTATACTACTTAGTGTACGTACGAAAACTTCTTTCTGACACCTTTTCAATAAAAAAACTATACTGTTGATGCATCTTGTTCATTGATCTGATATATTTGTATATATGAACTTGATGATCTCTTAGTATCGTAGACACGTGAGTGGATGAAGAGTTTTACCTTACCGACTACTGAAAGCTTAGAGAAAACAAACCAGCCAAAGATAACTGCGTTATCGACTAAGGGCTGACCGAACGTTGAGTATGACCACTCAAAGCTATCTGCAGTACCTACTACCAGTGAACACTTTATGATAAATCTTTCTACATGCATATAATTGCAATGAATGAACTTGGATAGATGGCAATGCTGCTACACAATTTCGCCTGGGTGTGCATTGCCTTATACGAATAAGTGTATTGCTGTCTCCAATAAGCTCAATTTGAAGTAAAAGATTGGATGTCGACGCATTTAATACTTAAGCAACTAAGGGCCCTCAAATATTTTTTCAAAAATTACAGTAAGTAGAGAGGCTTTTGAAATAAATTTTGGATAAATGAATCGGAATTGGGTTACCATTTTTTTTTCACTACGAAGAAACTTTTATTCTTCATTCCTAGTAGAGGAAACAAAGTACTAAACGTTTCGACAATTAAATACATTGTCTGTACGTTACCATGAAAACACTTTCGTGTATGCATCGTGAACAAACAGTAAGATCTCAACATTCCTTTGAATTAGGACCTTTTTTTAATACTTTTTGAATTTTTATTATCACTAGTAAATAATATTACGTTTCTTAATACATATTATACTTATCGGTTTTTTAAATAAACTTTGTCACCATTTTTATATATAAAAATTTTAAAAGTTCTATCTTGTAAACTGAAAGAAAAAAGATTTTTAAATTTGTTTTATTTCAACGTATCAATCCCCTGAGTACAATATAATTGTAAACCTTAGTTTTTGTAAGTGTCACAGTTCATCAACAAGTATTAGATACGTCATTCGAAAAAGTAGCCTTTGGCTTCTATACCTCTCTAATCAGTGAGATGTTGGAACTTTTGGAGAATGAACATGATTGTGCCATCAATTTAGTTAGGGCCATTGTGTGACAACATCGTTGCAAGAACAAGATGCCAAAAGTATACAGTAAAAAACTCGACAAAGACTGTGCATGAGTATCAACATATCCATACCAGGCATATAACCACCCATCATGGTTTCACATAACATGGTATGATCAAACAATAATTGTTGATCGATTTTAGTTTAAATTAACATAAGAATAAGGTCCAACATCAAACAAACACGAAAAACCAGCTCATCACCGATCGTGTGTTGAAGAAAAAAAAAAACACATCCTCCCACGCAACAACCATCCAATCAAGTGAAATTATAAGTACCTCTCTCTCAGTTTTGAAACATTGAAATAGACCATTATCAGCATCACCATCATCACCATTAAATATATTTACATAAGACGTGACCCGTGAATTTAGAAAGTGACAGTGCAGAAGTGAACGTTTGAATGATAAGTAAACAACGTAGTATTACAATGCCACATATCGTACCTTCTTGTTATTTCAATTGTCCTGCAGAGAGAAAGAGAGATAGTTCCACGTGTCACGCGATCCATCGCACCGGGCGCTAACTTATTATTCCTCCACGCCGATATACGGGTGACGCGCGCCACGTAAGTCGATATTCGAGCTACATACATATGCATATATATGGTACAAGTGTGTGTATGAACTCATGTGCGAACATCGCCTGGCAACATCATACATAACACCGACTCGGCGCTGACTCGGTGCTTCCTCTCGTCATCTTCTCTAATGTACGATACGGTACCTCCTCCTCCTTCTCTTGAAACCTTCTTTTTTTTTTTTTTTTTTTTTTTTTTTTTAATCATATCTCTTCTCTATACAACTCGTTTAACTCGTTTGTTTGATCACTTACCCGATGTTACAGTTAAGAGCGATTGTAAGACGCTATCCGGAGATAGGATGATGGAGCTTTTTTTTCTCGAGTAGACTCACGCGCGCATTAACATACAATGCGAAATCAAAACAATTTCTACAAGCCGAAAAATAAACAAGCCCCAAAAAAAAAAAAAACACCATAATCTTAGACTGCACTTCCTAGCGAGTGGGTGTCACAAAAACACCCGAGCCATCGCCACATTGTACACGCGTATATACATGTACGTATGGTTGTACAACATTGTCTTGGATGTCCATTGTTTTCAGCGTACACCGGATACGTGTCCTCTCGCGCCGGAAGAGCGATCATCGCGAAAAAGAGAGAGAGAGAAGCGCGTCCGCGTGTACATCGCATAACCGATATGAGCACATTAGCCTCTGCAGCTCCATTTTTCCCCTCTCCTATATAAATGATACATCCATCGCTGCACGAACTTATACATCATGGGCGTGACCGGAGATCACCGATGCGAATCTGTCGAACTTGGCTCGACCGCTCATGAGCTCGCCATAGCTTTTTGATACAGCGGACATACACGCTTGGTATATACATACACACATGGGTATACCATACCGCAGGTATAACGATTATGTTTCGAGTACCGATCGAGATAGCGCGCGTACGGTCGGTGTCCCTTTGAGACCTTTGAGGTTTTTCATCCGTCCGATTTTCCGCTCTTATACACTTTTCTTTGGGGCACAGCAGAAAGCTAGCGTTGCGGTTGTGCTTTTTTTTTTGTTTTTTTTTGTCGCGCAAAGAGAAATCGTGGCCTCAAACCGATCGAATTTCAACCGAGTTCATCTAAAAGTAGGCAGATACACATTTTGAAGAATTCGTGAGGAGAAATCCGCACGTTAATTAACATGTGTGCGACTGATATAAAAGCGTGTATGTGCGTCCCCTTAATTTGCCAACAGTGTATACGTGTTGCAGACTCTTCCAGTCTCTCAATTAACTCGAAGTACCACCCGCCCATCGATCGCCAACGAAACAACGGAAAGAGATATGGTTACAGTTGAGAGGAGAAACTCGATGTAAAAGGCGTAGGTCGTTCGTCGCGGGCCCACGTGGTGCCCGAAGTGCCTTTGGGGTGCGGTCGATGAGTAGCGATCCGTGATTAAGTGCCCCGTTGTACTAAAAGCGCGCGAGACAAAGGGTCTCCTCCCTCATGCGTGCATCTCGGTAAATTGCGTCGCACCTCCGAAGGATGTGCTGCTTGTGTGTCGTCGCGTACGGTAATTGCACGTGCACAGTCTTTTCGCGCCGAGTCCTGCCGACGGCGTTCAAGGTTGGTTTTAAGTGGATGCGCGAGCTCGCGTGTGTATACTTCATTGTTTTATTCTCCAAAGCCGCGGTTGGGTGTCGTCGGTCTCGTGGCCCACATAAACGGGCGCGTCATCCCGTTAATTGCACGATTAATGAGAATCGCGCTCTGGTATTTATATTGAGCGCCGAGCGGAGCTCCTCCGTTGGCATTTTATTTTTCAATTCCCCCTTCCTCGATCGCCAATACACAGAGCTAATGCTCGTTGGCTGGTTTTTGCACACTGGCGTGGCATCGGAATGATATTAGGCATCGATTTTCCAGTCTCTCTTGATTGTACCGCCTATACTTACTTGTTTTTCCATCCATTGCATAAACAGTCGCGCAACTCGGCTCCTCTTGATAATTGCATCTTTTCCTACAGTGCCGCCGCGTACACTGCTCGCACGGCTGTGCGGTCATTTTCTATTTTCAGTCCATCCACTACCGCGAATCGCTGGACAATAATAATAAAGAATCGCTGGATAATAAAACAACACCGCACCATGAAGTGGTTGCATTTCTGTCGTTCACAATGGGCGAGGTTGTGAAAAAAAAAACAAAAAAACAAAAAAAAAAAAAAACAAGAGTAATCTAGGTGTAATGTACAGCGGAAACCACGACGATACGCGCAATGATCCCATCACCCTCGCGTCGTCGTCGAATTAGCCAAAGAACGAGCAGTGAGCGTGTTAGGTATAAGCACACGGCGCACACACTTACCCACGATAACCGTATACAGCCTCGTGACTCTCTCGCAGGCGTTTAAGTCGATGAGTATAAGTATATATACCTCCACATGGACAATCTCTTCGGTCTCCTTTCCCCCCCCCCCCCCCCCATGAGCGTCATCCTATTGTCGTACACGGTTCCGCGTTATTCCCATCCATCCATCCTATATAGCTCGCCGCCGACTTTTTTATCCATACGTATTCTGTGCGCGTTTAGCTTCCACGTGGAGGTGCGCGTAATTTTCCTATACACACGAGTAGCGCACGACATATACACACGGTAAGTATACCTACAAGTATAATGTAGGAATGCCCCTACCATGTGTGTATATATATAACCATTAAACGCGAGGGAAAGAGAAGAGGCGCGCTCGAAATCGGCTCGCCGATTGTAAGTACTCGGTACTCTGTAACGACGCGAGCGGCAGACGAGCACGAGACGCCGATCTCGAGCGAGTGTCGGTATACAACCGAGCGAGACGGGGACTCTATCATCTTGGTATCGCACTCGGATGGATCTGACGTTACGGTTTTCTGCTCTCCTGTTTTTTTTTTTTTTTTTTTTTTTTTTTGTTTTTTTTTGCCTCGTCAGCGCATCATCTGTTTTGCGCTCGTTCGCGCGTGTGTAAGAGAGAAAGAGAGCGTCGTCCACTTTAATCGCGTCCGGCGTGACTCGTCGTCGTGTGTATGTAGTCGCCGAGAGCGCAGCGGCAGCGCCGGCCGTGATTACTTTTTCGTCCCGTTTCCTCGGCTAGTCGACCATCCGCGGATGGTGCGCAGTGCTTACGGAGCTTTCCGTTCGACTACGGGAGCGAAGGACGCGGTTGTCCGCGGACGATGTGCTCTGGCTTTCGAGGATCCACACGAATGATATTAGAATGATGGATCGTGCGCGGAGTTTGTTTATATTGGCTTCGCCTTGGGTGATGAATACTCGATAGCGCTGCGGTTTCACTATCAAGGCTGTATCAACGAGTGTTACACAACTCACTGGTATAGTTTTTACCGGAAGGATTTGTGCAATTGCGTGTTACACTGTAAGGACAATCATGGTGATGCATACAAAAATGACGCTTGACAATGGACGCGCGTCAGTTTCGGCTCTTTTCCAAAGCCAGTGTGTATAAAACAAGTGTTCCGGGAAACGGTGACTCAAACGAGAAGGGCATACAATACGTAGCAATTGATCGTTTGTAAATTAAAGTAATAAAATAGATTACGAAAATAAAGTAGCGTTGCAGTTGCGCAAAAGTTAAGCTCTAAGTGTATGATATATAGGTGATATGTGGGTCGTCAGAGCCGTGCTAAGTGTATACCGATAATCGAGCAAACTACTTGTCATCACCTACATTCTAATGCACCGCAGCTGAAAAACGAGATCACACGCAAGGGGAAAATTGTTTGATCGGCAAAATTTATTTCGTCGAACCGATTTGTCTTCGTCAGCCGGATGTCGCAAGCGTTCGCGGGCGCAGCTTTTAAAGATAGCGCACCATCGGATCCGTCCCATGTAGCCGTATCGGCGTAAGTGCGGTAAACTGTGTACACACCAGTTGTGCGGAGGCGACGCCCTCGCGCCTATTGCGACGGGCCAGCGAGCGGTCCGATAGTCGAGATGAGCCACAAAAAAGTGTGGAACTCGATCTTGAGGCGCAGGAAGAAGAACCGGCTGGTCCTCGATAACGAGAGCGGCGACAGTTCTGGGAGCGTTTGTGAGTTTTGTCTGTCTAGCTATTTTTTTTTTTTTTCCTTTTAATTATACGCTTACTTTATTGCGCTTGTTTTCATTCATACGTCCTCTGCTGTGCCTTTGTTTCGCCGAGTGTAGCGTTATCTAATTGATATTGCGAACATTTGCATGATGCGAAACGGGGCACTCTTGTGAATTGGTCGTGCCTGAAAAAAAAAAAAAAAAAAAAAAAAAAAATGTAGTTTTATATTACACACCAACACAATTGATGGTTTATGTACTTTTACTAAGGGAAATCACCTCCCAGCTGAATCGATCGGCGCGCGAATAAAAAAACAACAGCTTTTAATTCTTACATCGAGCTTTGATTTTCCAAACAATCATCGATACCGCCACTTGCTCATTCCGCGCGTGCTTGCCGGCTTTTTCCTTCGCTTTGCTCGCAGGTGTGTCTCTTTCGCGACGGCTGATTCATCGGAGCTGATGCGAATTCTTTCGCGTGACTTATCGCTGCAAAAAAAAGCGCTTCGTATTGGAAAAACAGTCGAGGATGAATTTGTTAACTCGGGAATGTACTCTTTTTTTTTTTTTTTCCTGTGAAAATTGAAAATAAAATGAAAAACTAAGAGCTATTTGCAAGAAGAGGAACCGGGCAGTGTCGCGTGCGTGCCCTCTTATTTTTGAAATTAAACATCTGTGTCCTCGGGCGTGACGCAACAATGAAATCGCGCAGCCGGCCGGAACGGCCCGGAAGCAGAAGTTAATAACGGGGCGTCTGGCGAAAGATTCTTTTTGCCCATTCATTCAATTTTTGTTTCGGCCAGTTTGAATTTAATATACATCTCTCTCCCGCTTTTATTTGAACGTCTAATTATTCACGCGTTAGCTCCGATTTTTGAAACAGCGTGGAAACGCCGAAACTATATCGCACAAGAGCTTATTTTTGATCATGTGTAGCGGTACATACAACATCTGGCTTACCCTCAATGCCTGAGAGAAGCTTGAGTTAATCTTTGTGTGATTTGCCCATACATGTGGTGCTGGGATTTTGAAATTTTTTAACCGTAGTCCCTACAATGTTGAAAGTCATCTTGGAAAAAGTATAAGAAGTAATCTAGTGAATATTTCAATTTATTTTATTTAAAACTCCATATTGCACCTGTTACTTCACTGTAGTGTCAAAACATTGACCGCTGCTTGATGCAAATAAACCATTGTGGTCCCAAGCCCGACGACCATTGCTTTTACAAATCCGAGAAAACGCTCGACCGTAGCGCTAAAGGACTCGCGTGATAGTTACACATCGGCAAAATAATATCGCGTTCCCCTCGTAGGCATATGAAGAGGAGGAGGTGTACCACTCGTAGAGTAACCCAAGAAGACAATGGCCAAGAGGCTACAGCGGCTATTACGGGGCTATACGGCTTGGGTAACGCGATCCCACGCTCCTGTGCCTCGGTTACTCGCCATATACACGTTCTGTGTATACGCTGTGGCGAAAGAAGGAGGAGGAAGAGGAACATCTCTCCTGTACGGGCGCTATTATATTTTAAGCCCCAGTGTGTTCCCCTGCATGCATGAGGATACCCATCCGACTGTACGGTGTCCGACTTTAACCCCGTACTACAACGTCGTCTAATTGCCGAGACACCGTTCCTCCGGATGGTGGGTGCTGTAGACGCGCGCCGATTAGGGACTACGTGTGTATATACTCGTATATACATATACGAGCACGCTTGTAATGCGATGTGTAAAATACCAGCTGTACTTACGTTGGCCTTTGTCTTCTTCTTTTTTTTCCGTCCTGTTTCTCCGATAGGCTCATATACATATAAACCCAAAAATTGATGTTTGACTGATATCTGAGTAGTTGGTACAGTTAAAGGCATTTTTTTTTTATAGAAAAAAAAAATGGTTCTAATATTAAATTTGTCATAGCGTTAATTACTTTAACCCTTTCTAAAGCCATCTTGGCTTTCGTGCTCGCTGAACTATCCGAAAAGAAGAAAAAAAAACACCATCGGACAATAGACAAAGGATATAGTGAGCAGAGGAGGTGCTGGAGTCTCATATTATTCGAGTAGTGTAATAAATCGTCGAGTGCGTCTAGAACCTTAGAGACACCAACAGCGAGCATCCATATCTTATCGTGGAAAGCCTGTTGTTTCCCTATTCGCGCCCACGTGGCATGAGTCACTCGCGCTCCTCTAGCGCGTAAAGGGATGCCGGGGACGACGACGACAACATCTGATTTCCACTTTGATCTCGTAGAGCAACTAGTTGCTTTTGTGGGCTCAAATAAGTACATCATACATCCTGCATTTGTTTAATTGCAGCTGTCGTCGACCTCTGCGGACCTTTTTTTCCTGCGGTGATACCTCTAGAGTCGTAATGGTTTTGAGGGAGTGGTAATTCGATGCCCTTTCATCGGGATACACTTTTTTTTTCTCTCATCGCTTCAGCTTAAGAGTACCATTTGCTTTTCATGCTTAAAGTTGTTGCATTTTTTTTTGCTCTGCCATCCGGAGATACGTCGCAGACCATTGAATTGCCATCATGAAAAAATGTCGCCAAAGCTTATGCATACACATACACGCTTTTTTTGATCCGAGCTTACAAAACATGGAAAATCGATGAAACGTTGAGTGAAGGAGTTGTTTTGACTTCTATATCTAGCTCCGTTGCTCAGGAGGGCCTCCCGCACGGCGTCGAAACAGGGCTCTGGATCGCAACAGCGGCACACCTTCGATATCGAACGAATCGATCCCGATCAGCTTCCCATTCAGCAGAGTAAGTCTTTCCATGTTTGTTTACAAAGTTGACGATTGGCTTGTCGAATTCTTACGAGATTTGTTATCACGTGGATGATGAGACTGATCTCATTGTTTCGTGAGAATAATTAGAATCAATCGATTTTTCTTAAAGAAATAAATATACGTTTGGTTAAATATACAGTAGGTTGATGAATCAACAGAACTATCAAGACGATTTTTCTTTTTTTTTTTTTTTTTTTTTTTCTTTATGTGAATTAAATTAAAATCACGCATACATGTATCGTCTACGTTTGGTAAAGAGGTACACATCAACTTACACTTTGATTACTCAAACTCTCGAACGATACATCAACTTCTGCCAAGAGAACAGTATTGATCTCTCAAAAAAAATGTCCCTCGATAACTCCTTTCTACTCGCCAGTGTACGTCAATCACATTACGCCCAGTTCAAAGTGCTAACCTTCCCAATGAGCAGATCGGTGTAGTATCGCACGGTTCATCTATTTCGGTGCACGACTGGATGACCAAAAATAAAATAAAAAATCCTTCAAACGTACACATACAAGCTAACGTAGTTACAGTAGCAAGGAAAAACAAACAGTACGAGGTTTGTGTCGTCGATGCTCGAGACTTGGAACTTGGCCAGAGAGTCTTGCTCCCGATGCGGATGTAAGGCCCGAGAAAGCGAATGCAGCGAATCCAGTGGTCCACGAATATATTTATCAGCTGTATACTCCTGCAGATATAAGCTTTGGCAAGTTCCCCCATGTATGTATCGTGTTTGTATCTGATGGGTGCATTGGATGTTATTGACAGATGATCATTTAAATGTTTACCCGGCCAAAGGTCATTTGAGTACAGCCGATCCAAACTAGAGAGTAGATATTAACTTTTCACTTGTTTATTGAAAACTTTCGTAATTTTGTAACCATCGAGGTGGGAAGGACCGTTTCGAGCAATCAGTTTGATATCGACTTGATTTCGATGGCTAAAAAGAAGCAAGGATTGTGCTGTGACAAAAATTTTGGAAGTCGACCAAATATTTTTTATTTTTCACTGCTGATAAATTTAAATGTATCTTGGTACAGAGGATGTTTGCTTCAGAGGCTCGTATTGTCCGGAACAGAGGGAATGAATTTGCGATAAGGTTCACTTTGGCTTGAGATTTTATATGTTATCGACCGAAAAATCGTATTTCATCCAATAATACGAGCTAAAAAACAATGGGTATATTACATTTACCCGTTTGTTTGACATAAAAATATATCTTATGGGTATACTTTCTTTTAATCAATGATTTTTCATCAAACAACTTCATTACAATCAAGTTGTGACTTATTATGCCAAAAAAGCTCGTTCGTACAACTAATGTCAATCATCAACTATAAAATATACCTTAGAAAAAAAAATGCTATCACCGTATCCACAGAAGCTGAAGCTTTCAGTTCCATTCGGTAGGAAAGGGGGTAAAGATGGTATCAATAATATAATGTACAAAGGCGAGAGCCACGCAGGTGCGAGATTGAGGATCGAGGCTTATTTCGACAAGAATATGAGAACGCCGGTGTTGTAAAAAAAGAAAAAAGAAAAAATAGGACAACACACCGACAAGGAAACAATGCTCGATACGTGGGATTTTTTCACACAAGTGCATAATGCTTTGTATCATTGTTTCTCGCCTCGATTTAGTCCTATTTTAATGCTGAGATATGAGTATGTATACTGTTTTGACAGAGATACAGCGTGTCTCAATAAACCAAATGTTCTTTTGTACCCAATCGGGCATTGTTCGGTCCAAACTCGCGTTACGTGATCGCGGAGATGTTACAACTCTCGTGATTTTTGAAAACATGATACTACGCATTTGCTACTCACGGATGTACATTACGCAAAAAGCAGCAGTTTCCCGAGCAAATTAGATTAAACTCTTGAAATTTATTCCCACACGCGGGAAACTTCGAAAGCAAACCCAGTCCCTGCCGTAAAACAGATCGCGTTATCTCGCGTGTTCCTATTCGCTGAACAAGAAATTCACCACTAAAAGCTCTGCCCTGGTGCTTGCAAAAAAAAAAAATTTTTTAAAACACACACACACAACGCGAAAAGCCATTTTCCATTTTCAAAGTCTACGGCCGCCGGCGCCGTAAACACATTCGGCTCTTCCTCCTGCTCTGTAGTTCCATATACATATAAAAACCGAGCCAAAAGCTCGCGGGAGGAGTATAACGGGATGTCGGCGCCAGCAACTTGCGTGCACCATCGAAAACAAAAGCGGGGGGTGCACTGGCCTTTTGGTCGTTATCACGTGCGGTTGAGCTAAAGTTCGCGATGCTGTTGCTCTAGTGTTGAACTAATTGGCGAGCAAGAGAGAGCTTGCAATTTTTTAAATATGTATACATGCATATGTAGAGAGTTTTCATGGGACACGTGAGGTAGAGAATGTATGCTGTTGTGGTTCGTTTGTCAAAAGTTTTATCGTGCGGGAATTCATTTAACTCGTACTCGTCGCACATTTTCTACACTACATGTACGTGCGGCCAACTTGAGATACTGGAAGGGATGCAAGTTTTGTAAAAATGGAGCGACTTGGGTCGAACAATGGAGGAAGAATGGAATTTTCATTAGATGGCAGACTCTGCCAAAACACACACAGTGCTGTCTGCCAGAGATAAACGCTGCAACTTTTGTTGGTTTTCTCTCAAACAACATTAGCAGGAATGCAATATATACGACGTAGACTTAAACGCAAGTTGTCTTCGTAAGATTTTAATTCGAAGTTGCCCTAATTGTCTCGTGTAATGCGTGGAGTTGGGTACTGTTTCGTGGCATGGTTGAAACCGACCCTGCATTTCTGTACAAGTTACTTGAATGCTAGTAATTACCACGTACATTGGTCAGTCTCGATTTATGAAGATCGGACTCCTTAGCGTTTGTGATGTAGGGTATAATACTTCTTACGTAGGGAAAAATGTATATCAACTGGGTTTACTCGACTATTATAGGAACGATGGATTAGACGCGAAAAAGTTATTTAAATGTCAAGTAAAAAAAATTAAATTTATTATTTTCTCCATAATACGATATATTAAATATTACTAAATACCTACAATACTTTGTTAAGTAAGAAAAATGTATTTTTTGTTTCAGGTGAGTTGAAGTCATTATCCTTACCAAGAGGTTTCCTACCCGAATTAACTGAGCACGTTGAACAAGGTAAAATTATTTTTTGTCAATTTTATAATGTTCTGAAAGCAATCATTCACTTGCGAATGACATATACATTTTATTTTCATTACTTATTATCTCTGCTACATTTATTCTCTGGAGTATTTTCAAGTTAAGAAATGCTAACACGAGCTCATGGTAAGAGTAACTTTGTCTTTAGAAAAGTTCAACGTTTGCGTTATAGTACAATATTTTTCCATGCTGCTGTACCCTTTGTTTTCTACGCGCAAAAAAATGTCATAATCATACGGAGACAGTAGCGAAACTCGTCTCCTACAATTTCATGCAATCAACTAAGTACGAACACAACAGCTTAGCTTTGCGACGTTTAACCACAACAACTTTATCCAAGTGCTGGTTAGAGTTTCCCCATCAGGAATATAAAAACTAATTTTTTTTAACTCAATTGAGTGACATGTCAGCTGGAAAGGGGACATCTGTACTGACGCCGAGAAACTTACGCTCTAAATGTGTTTGTCGAAGCACTTTTTCGCTATTTCACACGGAAGCCACAGTTTGCCTTGAAAATGATACCAAATTGAGAAATAACATGAAATTAATTTTGTCACGAGCGGTATAAAGTTATTTCCAATGAACTACCCCGCATGATGAGTTTACGCGCGTTCGTGGATAACTTTTTAATTCAATCTGAGTAACGTCGACAGTTATTCGCGAGTTTGTGCTATATCTCCCCCCAATACTCACATACACCGGCCCCTCCAACTCCAAGTTCCATCAAAGAAGACGGGGGGGAAGGACTGGCTCGCAAGACTGGCAATTATTCAAATGCGCGTGTGCGGTCGTCGACGTTCGTCCCTATGATGCATGCCAAAACACATCACTTGCAGCTGCAGCCCTACCCACTAGCTGTAGCGTGTGCACATATAACACGTGCAGAGTCTTCGCGTGATGATCTTCCGGCCCGTATGTTGTAGCTTTCGTGGCAACAACGCATGAACGACGTGATTGTCAACCCTTCAATTTTTTTTTTTTTTTTTTTTTTTTTTTTTTTTTTTTTTTTTTTTTTTTAATT